GAACAGGACTAGCAGTCAAGACATTGAGGATGCGGATACTTCTGTGAAGCGAGTCAAGGGTGTCGCACCCATCAAGGCAGAGTACATGCGCCACCCGCTTGAAGTAATTCGCATGCTAAGAACATCAGATTCCTGATACGACTGGATAACAACAAGGCCGCCACCAAGGACAGAGTCATTGACGACGATGCAGCTGAGGGCGCCGATGCTGAGCACAAATCTGAAGGCCTACCAAAGACTGATGCTCGCGATGGCCCCAGAAAGGGCAAGAACAACAAGAAAGACAAAAAGCAAAAGGGCCAAAACACCAGCCGCACTTTCGGCAGCTCGCGCGACAAGATACCGCTCTGTGGTACTCGCGCAGCCTACAATGAATTCTCACCCAAGGAGTGTCCGTTTGGCGAGAAGTGCAAGTTCGAACACGATATCCGCAAGTACCTCAAGGACGGTCGACGAGAAGATCTTACTACCTTCGGTGGTCAATGTCCAGTCTATGCCGTCAAGGGATTCTGTCACTTTGGCTGGAAGTGTCGATTCGTCGGTAGCCATTCCGAAGAGCGCACCCTAGAAGACGGCCGGAAAGAATTAGTCCTGAAAGAAGATGCTGACCGGAAATCCAAGTTCTCCAGCTTCGACGAAGAAGCAGAGGCTGAAGTGGTCAACATCGTGCCAAAGGATATCAAGATTGGTTTATCGAGACGGAAGATTGGGACCCCGCGCTCTGACCAGTACCTGCAATGGATCGAGACCAATGCTCGCAACGAAAGAGAAATGTTCGATGCAGCTCAGATGGACATGGACGTTCTCAAGGAGGAGAAGGAGGCGCGCAGAGCGGAGTTTGTGGAGGCGCCCTTCAGGCCATCAGAGAAGCGTAGGCTCTACTACGGACCCGAGACACCAATGCTCGCACCCCTCACCACTCAAGGCAACATGCCGTACCGCCGGCTCTGCGTGGATTTTGGCTGCCAAGTGACTTGGAGTGAGATGGCCATGGGTATGTCATTGATCCAAGGTGACAAGGGCGAATGGCCACTTCTCAAAGCCCACGAATCTGAGGTAACCCCTCCAAAGTTCTTGGGCAAGAACACTGTTGTCCAGGGCTACGACAACTCGACTGATCTCAAGTTCGGCGCACAAATCGCGGCGAACAAGCCATGGCTGGCCACCAAGACGGTTGAAGTACTGACTGAATACTGCCCGAAGCTGCGCGCTATCGATCTCAACTGCGGATGCCCCATCAACCTCGTCTGTGAGAAGGGAAGTGGTTCCGCACTACTCGATAGCGAGGCAAAACTGGAGAGTATCCTCCGTGGAATGACCTATGTATCCAAGGAGGTCCCCATCACCGTCAAGATCCGCATGGGTACCAAGGACAACCACCCGACCGCGCAAAAACTCATTAAGCGCCTCGTACTTGGCGGCCACGAAGCCGTAGAGTCTGGGAAGGGTCTCTCGGGTATCGCAGCCATTACCCTCCACGGCAGGAGTAAGCAACAGCGATACTCTCGAAGCGCAGACTGGTCCTACATCGCCGAATGCTCCGCCCTCATCAACCGACTCCGTAAAGAACAGGCGGCCAAAACGGACACCGCCGCCGAAGCTGATCCCCGTGACCTCGCAAACGGCGGCCATGTCTACTTTGTCGGCAACGGCGACTGCTACTCGCACGAGGACTACTACAACCATCTGGAAAACGCCAAGGTTGACACCGTCATGGTCGGTCGTGGCGCACTCATCAAGCCCTGGCTCTTCGAAGAGATTGAAAAGGGCCAGTACCTTGACAAGTCTGCATCGGAGCGCCTTTCCTATATCGAGAAGTTTACCAAGTACGGTCTGCAGACTTGGGGTTCTGATGAGATGGGCATTGGCACGACTCGTCGTTTCCTCCTTGAATGGCTAAGCTTTGCGCATCGCTATGTGCCGGTTGGTCTATTGGAACACTTGCCCCCGAACATCCAGGATCGTCCCCCGAGGTTCAAGGGTAGGAATGACCTGGAGACGTTGATGGCTAGCGAGCACTACACGGACTGGATCAAGCTCAGGTATGTTCTACTTACGACGTGGGAAGGTATTTTGGCTAACGTGTTTGCAGTGAGATGTTCTTGGGTCCTGCTCACCCTAACTTCAAATTTGAGCCTAAACACAAGTCCAATGCTTATGAGATTGAGGCGGAGGGTTAGAGCATGGGTGAAATGAAGGAATCATATTGTTATGGGGCGCTTCCGCGTATATGCATTGGTTGAGAAGCAGAAAAGCGTGGCGACAGCGATGCATTTGCATGAATATATTTCAAGTCTTCAGGTCTCGGTGGGTGCCTTGAAAGGACCTCGCATGGAGAAGTCATATTGGAATACCAGAAAAAAGTTCATCCCGTGCTTTTGCTCGTTGCATTCGCTTCCGTAATACATCTACACCAAAAATCCCACAAGCGTCTCCAGCATTTCCCTCTCAGCTGGCTCAACAGCCATCACGCCATCAAGCTGCGCCTGTAATGTCCTCTTGACATCTCCCAATCCTTCATCCCTCTCTGCCAGTGCCTTCTCAATAGCCACCTTGGCACCTCCGTCCTCAGCGACCAACCAGGCCAGCACGGCATCAACCCTCTCTAAACAGTAGAGCCCCTCACTCAACCGGTCTGGAATATTTTCCAGCTCAAAAGCCTCAAGCTCATCTTTCCCAGTTATCCGCAACGCCTTCTTCTTCTCTGCTAACTTGCTATCGAAAGCAGATAACCGTGTAACGTAGTCTCTGCGCAATTCAACCAGTTTGTGTATCTTGTCGTAGTCCTTCTCGAGGAACTTGGCTAGGAGACGGAACCGGGTATCGGAGTTTCCGGGTAGGGACCGGAGGAGAGAGGCGAAGATGCCGAGTATATGTTCGGTTTGCTGGGGGTCGTGGGACTTTTTCGTTTTGGAAAAGGTGCTAAAGAGAGGTTTTAGGCCGCGGCTGTCGATGAGTTTGGTGCAGACGGCTGTGGCGCTGTTTGTGGCTTCGGGGACTTCTGCTGCGGCTTCTTTGCCTTTTGCGCTTGTATTGCCGTTGGTTTGTGGTGGTGTTGTTTCTTCTGCGTAGCCGCAGGCGTGGTCTAGTACTTTCAGGGCGCGGCTCTTGCTGGTCTTGCCGTCGCGGACGAAGAGGAGACAGAGCTCTACACCTTCTGCTTCTAGGAACTTGGCTTTTCCAAGAGGCTCTTCTGTTACTGACGAGAGGCAGTTGAACAGGTTCTCCATGTATTCCTCCTCGTTGCTGTCCTTTTCTGGGTCGTCTCTTCGGTACGGCGCGAGGTTTGTGAGGAAGATTTCGACACCGTTTGCGTCGGCTACGTGGTTTCGGTTCGGTCGCGAAGATTGTGTGAGGATGGAGAGGATCTCGGAGGCATATTGTTTGTTCTGTGTTGTGGGTTTCTCGGGCTTCTGTATCCTGTCCAGTAGCCACTTTAGCAGAGCTGTCTCCCTGCCTATTATGTCTGTGTATGTGGGTTGTGATAGGAGGTTCTCGATGACGCTGAGGGAGTTGTAGACGCCCGATGCGTCGGCTTCGTCGGTCTCGTCGAAGCGGGAGGAGTTGGATACGAGCAGGCTGAGCAGGTCGGCCTCCATGAAGGCGGTGACGAGCGCATCCCATTGTTCTTGCTCCCCTCCAACGTCTTCGTCTGTGAGCTCCGAGACCATCTCGATCGCGGCGATTGCGATGTCTGTGTTCTCATGCGCCAGTAGTTCCACCAACTTGGACGTGGCTGTGCTTTTCGCAAACTCTTCGTATAGCTCCGGGTGCTCCGACAGTATGCTGAGCGCCTTTATGCCTTCGTCCAGATCGCCTTCCGACTCCATGAACTTGGTGGGGTCGTCCTCGTACTTTGCGCGCAGCGATGCGTTCTTGTTGACCTTCTTCTCAAAGTTGAGCGCCAGCTTGCGCACCCACGGCACGTCGTGTTTCTCTTCGCCTATAGCTCCATCGCCGTCTTGCGCATCGATGTACTCCATGGCGTCCCGCGCATTCTCGTCCAGGCCATCGCCAAAGAAGCGTCCTTCGTCGTCGTCGCCGGGCCCGTCCTCGAAGTCGGGTGGTAGCGAGGGGCCAGCCTCGTCGTCGTCATCTTCGTCAGCTACCGAGGCTTGCGCTGGGGCTTTGACATCGCCATCTGCGTCCAGCTTTGCAGATTTGTATGATTGGGTCGGGTCGGCTTCGTTTGGGTTCTCGAACTTGCGCTTTGCCGAACCGTTTGCGCTTTTGAAGAGGTCGTCGATGCTCGTCATGATGCGCGATGCGACGCAAGCAGAAGCAGAAGAAAGGCGAGTACAGCGAAGCGGAATTGGTCGACTTGTCGCGTCTTTACGAGTCGCTGAACATTGGGAATCCGGCTGGTCCCAGCTCGGCACTAGCGCGTTTTCTCCGCCGCAACGCTCACCTGTGTCGGATCCACTTCTCATCCGCACCCTCTCCATTCGCAGTACATCATCTGCACGCACGTGTTTCCTTACTCATCCGGAAACAGTGGTAGATACCCACGAATCAACTTTACGTCTTGTTTCCGACCAAACATATCTTTCCTTTCTCACGGTCTCCTTCTTTACTCAAGCGTTGCTATGGCACATCATAAGAGTGTCACTGATAGGGATGAAGTGGAATGCTGCTTTCCCCTTCCCGACCCCGATATCTGGACTGCTTGATACTCTTGAAAGTTATAACGCATGTACTCTTGCAGGGTGCAAAGCCCATTTGCACATATCACCATCTGCATTCCAGTTCCCATCCATAAGGAGGCCCGTTCACTTTATACGAGGATAGCATAGTTCAAGCGCATAATCAAACGGTTCACTGTAGAAGCCACTGCATAACTAAGCGTGTTGGGGATGTCAGCCACGATGATGTTCATATTGGTGAGTCTATCGGCTGAGTTGAGCGGTTCATGCAGGTACTACAGCATAGTCATCATGGTGCTCCGGACACGGCCCAGCAACCCCAAGCCACGTTAAGACCCCGCGGAGCAGACGTCATGTCTAGTAACGCCTTCCATACCCCTCCTCACCATAACCACCGGAGCCATATTCCTGCCTTCGCTGGCCGTATTCATCTTCATCGTCACGGCGGCGGCCATAGCCTTGAGTCTCTTCACCGAAACCACCGGGGACACCAGAGGCGCCGTAAGATTGATCAGGACGATCACCACCGTATTCGAGGCCCTCCGAACGACCGTATCCGCTGGATCTGTAAGGATTAGTACCGTAGCCCCGGTGAGAAGATTCGCCAACGTACTCTTGACGACCGTAGCTCGACTCTTCCTGGCGACGGCCATATCCAGACTCCTCTTGACGACCGTATCCGCCAGTGCTATAAGAGTCAGCACCATACTGCGGTTGCTGACGGCCGTAGCCTCCAGCGTCTCCGCCGTACTCCTGGCGCCCGTACCTGGATGGCTCTTCACGACCGTAGCCTGACTGCTCGCCGTAGCGCTGCTCTTGGCCGTAGCCTTGCGAGTATCCTCCGGACTGGCGCTGGGGCGAACGGCTGCCGCTCTTCTTGCGACGATGTTCATGCTCACGGGAGCGAGAGCGACGCCTGTGTTCACCAGATCCTGATCGACGCTTGTCAGCATCATCCGAATCCTCATCACCGCTGCCGTGTTTCTTGTGCTTATGGCGCTTCTTCTCCTCCTTCTCACGCTTCTTGCGCTCCTTCTTCATCCGCTTCTCGTATGAATCTTCGCCGCCCGAATCGTTCGAATCGTCGTCATCGGAGTGTTTCTTGGACTTACCACGTCGTCTGCACATCTGTTAGCCTATCATCATCATGAACGGAGTTATTCGCTTACTCTCTCTCCTCGGAGTAATATTCTCCAGACCGATCGATCCCTTCGCGTGTCTCTTCAGAGCGCCATTGATCGCCATGCTGGACGCGACGCTCCTCGCGACGCTCATATCCACCGGTGTTGCTGTAGCTCGAAGTCTCGACACGCTGTTCGTAGCTGTAGGATCCGCCACTGTCGTCCCGTTCCTGACGAGAGTACTCCTCGCGACGCCCACCACTCGGGTATTGTGTTTGCTCGTACTCGGCGCGGCCATAGCGATCATTGTCGCCATACGAAGATGCCTGGTGATGACCAGTCTCCGAGTATGACTGAGTGTAGGAGCCGTCTTGACCGTAGCTCTCCTCGTGGCTCTTCTTTTCCTTTCCACCAAAAGCGTCACCAAGCAGAGAGCCGCCGATGCCGCCAACAAGACCACCGACAAGGCCGCCTAGGGCACCACCACCAACAGCTTCGCCTGCGAGCTTGCCAACATGGTCGGAGGCCTGCTGGATCTGTGGGTTGACACCACCTTGTCCACCGGAAGAGCCAAAGTTGTTGGCCATACCCAGGGGTTTGCCGCAACCATGGCCCTTGTCGTGCACGTTCTTCTTATGGTTGCGAAGGTTTTGCACGCCGTCTCGACTGAGCTGGTGGCGGAATTCTTCCTTGGCGCTCTCGTCTTTGGAGTCCCACCACTTTCCAACAGTATTGAACATGATCTGGTGGCATTCTTCGACCCCACGATCACCTCGCCCTCCGTACCTTCTCTCTGCCGCGGCAACCGCAGGGTGGTGAAACACGCCATTGATGATGCGGTCAATGGTTTGCTCAGGGTCTGCCTCACCGTCCCAGCACTGAACGACTTGTGGAACAGCCCAGCTCAGCACGGCAGAGGCTACGCGACCAGCAGGCTCGTTGAGCACGTTAGAGAAGTGATCCTTGGAAAGCATACTGTGGGTTGGGTCGGTGCAGTCGTCGTCGTTGAAGACAATGTGCTGCTTCTCACGAGAGCTTGCAATGACTTCGCTGGATCCCGTCTCAAGCTCAGACTTGACTTGGCTAAGAATGGGCAAAACGTAGGGAGCAAGAAGACTGAAGACGAAGATAGTGACCTGGCTCTGGACCTCCTCGATCAGATCTGGCAGAATTGGGATCTTCTCAATGAATTCGGTGATGGACTGCATAATCTCGTCGTGGAACTCCATGATGGGGTAGATCTGCTTGACCAGCTCTCCAATCTGTTCCGTGAATGCCTCAGGCTCCTTAGGGGTGATCTGGATGTTGCCCATAGCAGCCGCGTTGGAGTTGTCGGCAAGCTCCTCGGCCTTACCGGCTTCGTCTTTGCCGCCGAAGATGCCGTCTGGGAGCTTGGCAAGAAGCTCCTGGATCTTGCTCTTGTTCTCGTTCCTGTCGGCATTGGCAATTGCGCCTTCAAGTTCCTGCAGCTCGGATTGTGTAGCCTTGTCGGTAATCTCACCGCAGACCGAGTGCAAAAAGTCGACGCCACCGAATGTGCCTGTGATGATGGGGTATACCTGCTTTCCAGCGGCGCGGACATCGAACAGGGCGTTCCTGCCTACGTGGGGGAAGATATTCCGGTTTTCTTCTTCGAGTTCAATCAAGGCAAGCTCGACATAGTTGGAGTGGGCAGAGTAGTCTTCCAGACAGTGGGTCGCAGTACCAAGCAGCCTCAAGGCTTCGTAGAAGTCGGGACCCTTTCCTCGTGAGCGACGTCCCAGGTCGATGCAACGCCGAAGCAGGTCGCGGACCATGCCAGCCGATGTTGTGATGCCCAAGTCTTCGGAAGCGATGTAGTTCTTCAGGCCGGTTCGCTCGTCGACGCTGAGCTCGCGTCTCTCGTCAACGGGGCCTCGTAGGCGGCGGTCGTAATCACGGGCATCGAGGTTGTCGGCGTAGTCCTGAATAGTCAATATCTCGACATGATGGAGAAAGCGGTGTACTGACCTTGGGGTTGTCAATGTGCTCTTCAGGTCTGTAGCACCCAAGGCGATCGCGGGTGACCTCGAACTCCTTGGTTCCGTAGCCGAAGCTCATAAAGCCGAGTACCCAGAGGAGGATGCGGATTGCCTCTGCAGAGACCATCTTGACGGTGCCGACATCGACGGCCTGGGAGTAGTCGCGTAGCCAGTTGCCAAAGTAGACACGCTTGACATCCATCTTGCTGAACTTCTTGCCCGTCTGGCCGCTGATGAGCAGGGTGAGTAGGGTATCCTCGATATCTCCATGGCGCCAGTTCTGTCCTTCAATGGCGCTGAGGCTCGCAATGTTGCCCGCACCGAAAGCTGCCGTGGGGCGCGCCCACAACACCATTACGATGAGGCATGGCAGCCAGACGTCGCTAAATTGCGGCATCGTGCTCTTGATTTCGTATACTCTTGTTGATATCCAGGGAAGAGCTTATGAAGTGATTATAGACAGAGGGGAGAGAGGGGGCCGAGTTGTGTGTATGTGAATGCTGCTAGCGCGTGTTACAGCTCTACCCGCACGGGGCTCCTGCCCCGCCAAAGGCTGACGTAGGGGTCCATCACCCAACACAAATCGACACTGATCGCCGAGAGACAGCTGCTCGACCAAACCTTGGAATACTCCAACACATTTTGCACCAAAGACGTCGTTCTCAACAGCTCCAAACTCATGATGCAAATCGGATCTACAACGCTGTCTGTTTCAGGCAAGAGTAATATCCCTCAGAACACCCTTTGGCGTGTACGATTGGCCATCAGGCAACTTGAAGTCCTCGGACAACATCATGTGCCCGATACGCCTATATTCGTCTTTACCTCTCGATCCTATCGGCTCGATGACCAGATAGCTGGTTGTTACAACTGGTGGCTGGTTCGTCAAACCCGAACTGTGGACGTAGACGACAAGGGCGAGCGTGTCATATTGACCGCTTGCTTCGCTCAAATCAAGCACGCCTGGATCTAGGTGTAGCGGGCTGCTATCTGCCCAACGCCGAACTGGCTCGGGTCGGGGTATACGCTGGAACGCCCCATGTATTCGGATCGTGCTGCCACTAGGATCAGATATGAGCGGCTCGCCGCTCCAAGTAACGTTGGCCTGCAAGATTTGGGCTCGGTACAAGATCCGTACTTTGCTGGTCTTTGTTGAATCGTTTATCGTATCGTACAAAGATATAGGTGCTTGAATCCCGACGCTGCCGTGTTTGTAAGACATCCATGTCCAACTCGGTCGGCGGTTGACAGGCTCCGGCGTGGGTATGATGTGCCGGCGACTATCGCGAAAAGCTCTCCAGGTCAGATGGTGAACCAAGTGACGTTCCCAGAGTCCCACAACTGGCTGATCGTTGGATAAATCCTGGTGCAACTGCACGATCCCGGCTATGGCAGCATATTGATCACCTGAGAAGGTAAGGGATCGCTTGGAGTAATCTGCTACGCATCGCCACCAGTCAAGGTCGAGCCCGTACTCATCTTCACTAGAGACGCTCATCTTAGGAGCACTGTGTTCGCGGGTCCTGTTTTTCTGGAGTTCGAAGAGGCCCATTCTTATGGGCGCACGTTTTTCTTGGATGTAGATAGTGCTATCCTCACTTTCCGTAAGTGAGCCACATTGCCACACGAATTGCGAATACGTAGCATGCACGGTCCGGCGTGAAAGCATGCTCTCTTGCAATATCCATGCCCGGGTGCTGACTGGTGCATGTGAGAGCTGATCTCTGAGCGTATCAGTGGAGCTTTTCCCGCATGTTCCTGTTCTCCTGGCAGAGAACCCTGGGTGACCTCCATGCACTCCGGGAAATCGAACCGCTGGCTCATACTCTGCAGTCAGCCCACAACCCCCACGACCATCATGTGCACTAGTAGCCGAAAGTGTGAAAGTGCCAGCACGAAATATCGCTGCCATCTTACTGCTCTCACGTCGCCAGTCTTCTTTATCGTCCTGGATAATGGCAAGACTACGTTAGAGCAAATGGAGGGTCAGCGTACATCTCTTACACGAACCGGGTATATAAATACGTACCTGTCTATCCAAAGGTATTTGAAGCCTACAGCAGCAGTGATTCTGACTGCATCTTGGAAAGTCTTCGTCAAGTTTCCAAAAGGGATGCCAATTTGCTCGTACTGTGAGATGTTCCTGGTGGTGGTTTTGCATGAGATGTCTATTCCGCCCCATACGTGACTCAGTACCACATGCGGTTCGATGTGTAGATTGATGCCCTCAGTCCGAACAAGTTTGATGGAGAATTCATTAGGACCTTGCTCTTGGATAGCGAGAATGCGCGCTGCTAATGGTGTATCCAGTCTCAAGGACTTTTGACAATAAGGATGGTGTTCTTGACACTCCAGAAGCCACTCGCGGACTGTTGCACTTCTTGCCTTGATGTCTCGAAAATCTGCATTGCTCCATATGGCTCTGCGAAATGCTCTGCCTGAGCGATGTTAACAAAACCTCGGTAATATCATGGGAACAAGAAGAGTCGCTGTGCATACCAAACCTTGTGTGAACCGTGAATGACCTGCTATCGTGTATTATCCCGGTAGGGTGATTTTGTATACTAATGCGTATCGAAACATGATCCAGATGTCCATTGGGGTCCGGACAGGATTCAGTAGTGTCGCACTCAATGGTAACGATAGGGGACGCCTTAGCCGCTCGCCAGTCGCATTCGATGCTCACTCTCGGTGTGTTCGTAGGTGCTCGTAAAAGAGTGAGCAGGTCCGTGTAACCGCCACTGTGATATACTACTCGATTGGCAGTCTTGAAGCTAATGTTTTCTTCCAGCCTCGGAGTGTTCGTAGTAGTTCGCGCAAGGTGCTCTTCGAGATGATCCTGACCAAACAGGTCACATATGTACTCACATAGTATGCACCGGTTCCTGCATTCCATCAAGTCATGGAGATCAAGATGGAAAACTTCGTCGCGTCGATCAACTAGCCTCCAGAGCAGCTTCTTACAACATTCCGAACAGTACGGTAGGAACCCAGTGACATGGGGCTGGATCCACTCACTACCAGGGGCGTGGACGACCGAGTCTTTTCGGTACATAGCTTCGAGCTCGGAAGGGAAATTAATGAGTGACAATAGCAGATAGAGATTCAGTTTGTTCATCTAGTATTCGCAGCCCCTCAATATCGGGTGTGAAATAAAACGAGCGCGTACGCTGTATGATGTTATGCTGCATCGCTGCATCCATGTTGCATGGAAGGATTCATCCGATCCAATGACTTTGTGCCAGCAAGCGCAGATATGGAGCTTCATGCCCAGGTCAGTGCCATTTCTCATGCATGCATACTGATTAGTTTTGTCACTTGTGACCAAGGTTACTTCCTTTGGTCAACTGTCCCATGGCTGCTGCAATGCGTTGGATGCGTAACTCGATAAGCCTTCCGAACCTAGCAGACAGTACATATACTATAAGTATCAAGAGATCAGCAAGCGTCAAAAGACTTCGGCAAGGTGGAAACTTGGGCAGAAGTCCTTATACCGTAGATTGTGGTCAACCGAGTTGGCCTGGGCAAAGCAGTCTGACGGTACTCGCTATCGAGGTCATTGAAGGATGATGAATATATCGACCACTTGGCTCGCACTGGTAAGGGTGGAGATGGGATCTTTCGATAAAGTGGGTGGAGAGAGTAAAGCTTCCGGATACTTGTGTGGTGGGCGGCTTCTCGCTAGCATCCTACATCGCGGGCCGAACCTTCCACCTTTGAAAGCCGATAGAATGAATCTGCAAGCTGGTCAAGTCATGTTCCTATCTAGGAAATTAGTTTGTGATCTGCAATTCGGGTGAGCTCTGTATATCGATGTGTGAGGATGTTGTTAGTGTTTTGGTTCGGCGCCGGTCTTCCGCAGCCTATCCACCATTGCCCGCCAAAGGCTGACGTAGAGGGGCCACAGCCCACCCACACGCCCAACAGATCGCCAGCGAGCGGTGTTCGATCAAACAACCTCTTACACCCGTCAAACACGCGTATACCCCGTTTCGCGCAAACATCGCCCTTGCCCCAACGTGCGCGATACCAAAGTTACGCGTGTCGTTGGATGTCCGCTTCCTGCTGCAGGAAATTGCCGTGCATCCTCAGCTGGCATGTAGCCCCAGGCGGCTACCTTGTAAACGCACCGGGCCATGACAGAATCTGTGTCGCATCAGGTAGATCTCTACAGAACCGCCATCTCCACGACTCAAAATGTATACCCCGTACCGGTGTCTGCATCGGCTTGTTCACTATCTGTTCATTACCATAGTCGCATCATGCGGATGTCCCTTCAGATGTCGTTCGCATTGCTGCATACACAGTACTCTCATTCTGAACCAAGTGCGCTGAGACGGGCGCGGCAGAAAACGCCGTCGCTGAAGAGACTGCACATATCGTCGATGTGCACGCCGACAGTAGCATCTAGATCCATGGCAAGGTGTGGTGTGCTATCATCTGAATGGTGCTGCCTCAACTGGCCAGGTAGGAAAGCGCAAGCCGCGACGGGAACCCCGGTCAGAGAGCAGCTGTGTCGAGGCGATCGACTTCATGCTGATTGGGGTTTCGCGATGGGCTGAATTCTGTTCGGTTATGTGGTGTTGTGAATGGCTAGGAATGGCCATGTGGTGACGGTAGTGAGTTGTGGCTTGATGGCCTGGTGCGCGGTCCAAGTTGCGCCGTGTTACGCTTTCCACCGCCAGCCCGCCCGCGACTGCCGTATGAAGAGCACACACCTGGGCAGCACCCATCACGCCCCCAGGTAACACCACACCTCCGCAACTCCTTCCATCTCATCGCAATCGCCTCTCACACGACCCTAACGCCGGGAAGGCATACGGAACCAATGCGACACCGCCATGCATGTCACTGGGAATATAGTCATCAAGCGGTGAGCACGTGTAAGTGGAAGAACTGTCATTTTGTAACGAGATTAGAAATTAACCTGTAAAGTAGGCCATACAACTCTAGAACCAACGCCGACAAGGGAATGGTGCCCTCCATGATGCGATGACCCGCTCTATGTATCCCGATCCATGGTGCCAACTGGCTTCCAATTCCCAACGCCGCAACAGGTGAATCGAACAAAAGAAAATACATCCAGTCATGACCCAACTAGTAGTTGAAGACCGTCAATGACGGGTTCAGTACGATGGGCAACAGGCAGTGCATGATAACCGTTACGGCCCAACTAGGTATTGTTAGCAAAATGTCAATGATATAAGAGTAGGAGGATACTTACGGCAGAACGGCAGTCAGACCGGTAATCTCCCAGCCGTGGGGAGCGAAGCATCCGAGGTAGATCATGCCTCCGATCATGAGGGTCATGAGCATGTACATCCACTTGAAGCGCTTCCAGATCTTGGGCAGCTCGGCGAAGAAGTTGGAGTTGTCCTTTTCCTTGGCTGTGGCACC